CGGCTCAAGGTTGACTCAGCTTTTCCCACAGTCTGGGTCCTCATTTCACCCACCTCGGAAGGATGGAAGGCTGAGTCAACCTTGAGCCGGTGAGATTTGAACCGCCGAACTGCAGCTAACAGTCAGCTGAAGTGGCCTGCAGTACTGCACCCTAACCACTGCACCACCTCAGCATAGGTGGGATAGTCTTAATTCCATCGGGATGAATTGTTCCCTCAGATTAAGTATAATTGCTTTACTTTCTGATAATTTGTAATAAATGTATATTGTCTAACACATTATTCATTAACAAGATATATATGAAACTACAGTAAGTGAAACCAACACATTTTGTGTTGTTATATGATTTCTTAAATATCTTACATAGAAATATGAAATCAAACCATATGTTTAATTACCCAAAGTCCTTTCTGTGTACTCTGGTATCCAATATCCCAACACACTTATCAAATCATTTCTACACATTCTGAATTTTATTAAATACTTTTAATAATTGAAGCTCTACTGCTTTGAAACCTTTTAATTCCTTCCTATAGTATTTCAGTGTTTCCATAGAATATATCCCACTGACAACGCGATGCAAATGCAAGAAAATTAAGTGCATTTTCTATTCTGGGGCTATTTTAGGGATTGTCTCCACTCCATATTTTATTTGGTCACTTGAGATATTTTCAAAGCAGTCGATGAAATTATACAAGCAGTCTTCTGATGCCTGACATTGCTGGACTTCTAGGTTGTTCTAAAAGGAAACTAATGTTTCCATGCAGCCTGCTCAGTTTATTAAATAATATAATTGACATTTTCTGTGGTTGTGTTTGGTAGATGTTTATTGAACAAAATAAGTTGAAACGGCAAAGTCAGTTGCTGCAACAAAACTCCACCCCTGATGAGCAGCTTTCAAAAGCTCTAGATGAAAATGCCAAACTGACTCAAATGCTGGAGGAAGAAAGATTGCAATACCAGCAGAAGGTAAGAAGGCAGCTCTCACCTTAGACATTTACTATTTTAGTTTCCATGCAGAATATCTCCAACTGATATAATGGATTAGGCTGAATGCAGGTAGATTGTTACTTACAAAGCTGAATGTTTGATATAGGTGTAAAAAATGTTTCTCAAAGATAATGTTAAACATCAAATTTTATGTTGCTTTGGAATTCAAATATTTCTTCATCAGGCCTTCGCAATATGTAAATGATTTAAGCTTGCTCACAATACTGTATGTTAGTTAGTTAAGCTTGCTCACTGTAAACATGGCCTTCCATAACTGAGTAAACCTCTTGCTTTGAAAATAAGACCTCCACAGATAATAAGTCCAATCGGGCCTTTGAGCGCATGTGCTAAAATAAACACTCCCCCCAAAATAAACCCACTCTGCAAATATTGCAACACAGCAGTAACCATGAGGTGACCATGCTGGTATTCTGAATATATGGCAGGACATAATCCCAGAGTATATGCTTACCAAAGTGCATCCATACTGTTTAAGGTACTTGCAAAACCACTTTTTGGTTTGGAAGGGAGGTTATTTAATTTGGACACTATCTTAAACTGATGAATCAGATTCTACTAAATAAAGAAGCATTCCAGATGGACTAGTTTCCTGGGCAGTCTGAACATCAAATGCTTAAAACCACCTCCTATTCAGATGCTCAATTCAAGTTTAAATTGTGATATAATTGTCTAAAAATGAATCATTTAACAACTCAAGGAAATTAAACTGCTTTAATATAAAACTAGGAACTCGCTAGTCATTTTGCGTAGCAAATTAAATGTCAGACTCTTGGCTTCTGCTTAAAATGAAAAACTACTCTTTTCTTAGCATATCTCATAGTCTCTTTAGGAAGATTTGTTGAGAAGAAACAAGAATTTTAGCATCTGAACTATTTTTCCTATAAAGCAACTATATATCCAAAGTGCATTAAGGTGGAGCCTTCTTCTTTTTCTTTTATTAAATTGTCTTTCTGTAAATTGGCGGATCTTTTCACTAATAAGAAAAAAATCTTTCCAAGTAATGTTTACATCTTAAATCTTTGCCACTCTGGAAACTTACTATTACATAAAGCTGCACACAGATGTTAGCTGGTACTTTCCAAACAATTCCAAATTATAATGCTTTATTTAAATCAAATAATGTTTTTAAAGAATAATATATTAGCTTGCCTTTCCAGACTGCATGCAATTTGACTTTTCCTTCCTCTCTTGAATTTTTGTTCCTTGCCCACAAATCCCTATACTACTTTGAGATCTGGGTCATGTTTGGGAGAACCAAGATGTAGTGATGGAAGACAAAATAAATAATCTTGACTATTTCACTGTAGAAATTAAAAATCATATAAATGGTTTTGAATAAATGGCATAAATGTACACACTGATTTCTAGGACATTCCTTTAATATTAACTATTACACAATAAAATTGAGAACAATTAAATTCTGTGTCAAAAATTAAATAATTGGGTTTTGAGGAATGCTTAGTTCAGTGGCAATCCTGTCACTCATATATTAGATATTCATTGTGATTTTGTATTTGTCAATATTAGATTAAAGAATTGGAGGAACAATTATGTAATGAAGTTTTGCGCAAAGAAATCAAGTCCCTTAAACAACAACTAGAACTTCTAGAAGAAGAAAAAAAAGAATTTGAGGAGAAGTGTCAGAGTGCTGAAGAACAAATTAAAAACTTAAAGCATTCAGGTAAGCTAAATAAATAAAATAATTTTAGATATTTAGAACCTCATGTTGATGATATTCTAAATATTATTAACATATTCTTAACAGAATTTAGCCATTTGTGCTTAACATTGATTTACTTTGTTATTTCTCAACATGCAGTCTTCAATGTAATGGGTGTTGTTAAGCTACATTTGCAGCCAAAACATCAAGACTCTTCAGTAAATTTTGGTACATTGCTGTTATTTAACCAGATTAAGTTCATTGCATTTTGCTCCCACTGAAACCAATGGGATTTAGATTACAAATGACCAACTCCTTTAGTTTCAGTGGAACAGAAGTTCAATTTGCCAGGTTTTGACCTTGGAATGTTTTGACATATAATTGTGATTTATGATAGCATCCAGTGAAAAAGAAAACTTCTGTAGTACCTGAATAGGAACACTCCAGAAGTGAAAGCCACGAAGAGGTTTAAAAAATATAAAATGGTATTCGTCCTTGAAAATTATGATTATATTTTTTTTTTTAAATGTTTAGAACTTCACAGTTAGTTGGAAAGCATGGATGTGAAGGTTTTGTTTCCCCCCTGTTGTTTTATGAGCCTTCATATGATTGACATTTTAAAAACTAAATGCTTTGTCAAAGGCTATGCAGAAGAAATTAGCTTTGCAACTCCCATGGGTGTTAATGGCTAAAATCCATGGGAACTGTGTGGCTAATTCCCTGCACTTCAGGCTAAACATTTACCCCTCACTATCTAACTGTTGAAGCTGTCTGACTTGCTGGCTATTATTTGTCCAGTTTATAGGCTAAAACAAGACAGCAGAAGCACTGACAAAACCACTTAAAATACATACAGTGTGAATCAACTACTGTGATTTAGTTGTTACCAAAGAATTATTTACCAGGATGGTGCCTGACCAGCTTACAGCATCGTACCTATTAAGTGCTAAAAACTGTAATTTACTACTCTTTATCTAAGATTGCCATTTCTTAATAAATTCAAAATAAAGTTACCAGCAGGGGAAGTAATGTTTAACTATCCTAAAGCAGCTGGATTATGTGGATGGAAAATGTCAAAAGAAAAACATACAAATGCCTTTGTGCAAGGTCCTAAAACTCTAGTGATGTGTGTTAAATTAATCGCAGGCTAGTAAGGTTACTGGAAAACCTATGGAAATTGCTAAGGAGACTTGCCCAGGCACTACTGCAGGATTTGAAATAAATTACTTAAATGTGTGTACTGACTATATTGCAGCATGATGGCATTTCATAATGACTTCGCAATTCAGTTATGATCTGAATACCAAAAATAGTGATTGTTTAGCAAATCAAAAACTGGGTAGAAAGAACCTAGTAATAACTCTTTGGAGGCTTTTTTTTTTAAAAAGTACTATTTAAGGAGTTATTTAAGACCGAAGCAGACTGTTATAAAATATGAGTACACAAAATCAAATCACTACTAAGCTTTGTCAGTTTAAGAATCAAAGCTGTTGCTTCTGTCTTATTATCTCCTATCAGGTGATCTAGAATTATCTTCACAGTTAGCAGTGTAGTTTAGCAGAAGGTGATACCATAGTAAAAAAATAACATGGAGGTCTCGAGATATTAAGTCAGTGCATTGCTTTGGATTGAAAGTGCTTTAAAGCAAGAAGAGGCTTCACTCAGCACCTTTCTTGAATGCCTGTTCCAGGATCATAGTGTGTCTATATATACAGAACTGGGTAAAAGCCTAGGATAATGATGGGAAATATTCAGCACTCTAATTTCTAGAGATGCTTGGTAAAAAAATAAATGTCCACTTTTAACATCAATTAGCCCCTCGATTAGTGAGAGATTTTATTTTACAAAAATTGATTTTATTTTACCTTTTTATTTAGCATTTTTAAATATATATGTACATAGGTACTTTTAAGTGAAGATTCAGTTCTCTCTTTATACAGTTGATGAGCTTGAAAAACGAGTACATCGGTCAGAGAATCCAGTACCACCTCCACCTCCACCCCTCCCACCTCCACTTCCTCCTCCTCCTAATCCAATAAAGTAAGTGCATTGCACATTGCAATTTAAACTCATTGCCTAGGCTTAAGTGTGTATTACTCTGAATTGGAAGTGTAAGAAGAATCATAGGAATGTAAGTTTGATATGTAATGTGACTTTCAATGAGTTTGAGGCAAGCTGATGATACAAGATAGGCAATCAACTGCTTTATTTCTGTTGACTATGTCCATTCAAGCTTATAAAAGACATAATCTGCTGTGGGAAAAGAAAAGGAGGGGTATCAAAATAATGAGGAAAGACAAAGTGGGTATGAGAACATTTTTGAAAAGATGTCAGAAAGAGAACCTTGAGCCAGCCTTTTCACAGGTGCATCCTCCAATTACGACTAAGGGAATATAATATTTAATAATAAAAATGAGCTATCTCTGTTCCAAATATTTTTGACTACAGACTAATCTATCAAGATCCTGGGTTGAGAAAAGGGTGGTAACTTGTTATCTGAAAATCACTTACGGTTTTCAGGGTTGTTGCCCCCATGGCACCCGATGTGAGACTCTGTTAATTAAATTGGGCTCTAGGGATCAGTTGGGATTGCTGTTGGACTTGTTATCTTGAGGACTTTAATCTGCCTTCTCTGAGGGTGGAGGCCTGAGATGGATCAGGTATTCATGACCACCATGATGGCCATGGTCCTATGACCCAGGACAGTGGTCACACACCAGATCTCTTGTCTCTGTCAGAGCAGTAGGTATGTGATTAGAAATTGGTGCAACTTTTGGTGTCATAGTCAGATCATGTCCTGATTACCATGGGATTCTATTGCGCCACTATCCACTTCAAAGAGGCTGGATCAATTACATTGTTCTACCCTGGGTGGTTGAAGAACCCAGATGGGTTTAAGAGGGCGCTTTGGTTGTTCCTACTGATCAGCTGCACAGTTCATCTGGAGTTTGGTCACTGCTTGGAATAAGAGAATGACAGAGACTTTGGATCAAATTGCGCCTATATAACCTTTTCTTTCTCATGGATGCTAATACTTCCCATGGCTCAAGGAAGAGCTAAGGCAATTAAAACAAGAGAGATGTCTAGAGCAGTGTTTCTCAACCTTGGCCACTTGAAGATGTCCGGACTTCAACTCCCAGAATTCCCCAGCCAGCGAATGCTGGCTGGGGAATTCTGGGAGTTGAAGTCCGGACATCTTCAAGTAGCCAAGGTTGAGAAACACTGGTCTAGAGTATTGCTGGCATTCTCAGGGTTGTTCCTTTACTTCTTAAGAAAGTCTTGGTAGCTCCTCCAAAAGCTATTGCTGGGCCCTGTTGTACAACCTTCCCTTGTATATAGCTTCCCCTTCTTGGGGAAGGTAATTTAAGAAGATGGCTGCAAAACAGCTTCAGAAAACGTTGAATGAAGTGGGTTATCTGGGTATTTTTCAGTTAGGATACAGACCAAGATATGGGATAGAAATGACATTGGTTGTATTTTTGGATGTTCCCTATTGTGTGAGCAGAATGGTGATTGTGCATCATCCTTGCTTTACTTGATCTCTCAGCAGATTTTGATACCATTGACCAGGGTGTCCTTATGGATCAACTCAGAAGATTGGGGGTGGGCAGCGTAGTGTTATGCTAGTTCCAGGCTTGATTCATATCTGTGGCGATTGGGAAAGAGAGATCCCGCCCACAGCCCCTACTGATTACACTAATGCAAAACTGAAGTTAAAGTAATAATCTGTTAAAAGTTTGGGTGGCTTTATTATTATATCATTATAAACTTTCATCAGTCAGCTAGATGTTCAGACTGGATTTGGCATTTTAATTCACCTATTGAGTCTTCCCAAAGGACCTAGGATAGGCAGATGTTTTGTGGTGTTAGAACAGGCGTGTGATGCATCTAGCCCATGTGCTGGACATGCCCACCCCCAGTTTAGTGAAGGGGGGTTAAGTCGCAATATGTCATGTGACAAAAAATGTGACAATGTGAGTTTGACACTCTGTGTTAGAAGTATCATTGCAGGATGTTCCAAGTAAAGCTACATTTTGCAATGGACCGATGGTGTATTTGTCAATGCTGATGGTATTCAAGTAGTACTCCAGTTGTTTTGGGATTGCATCAGTACCTATTACTGTTGATACTACCTTTGCTTTCTTTTTCCACAGTCGTTCTATTTCTATTTGCAGGTATTTGTATTTTGTTATCTTCTCCAGTTCCTTCTCTTCTCTTCTGCTGTCTCCAGGTACTGCCATATCCACTATACAGATTTTTTTTTTGTCTTTCTTATCAACACTTGTTAAGTCTGGCATGTTATGCAGCAAGTGTCTTATCAGTTTGAATTCTAAAATCCCAGAGCACTTTAGCTTCTTCATTTTCTATTATTTTCTCTGTTTTATGGTCCCACCGGTTCTTGCTTGAAGGCGAATGGTATTTCTTGCAGATCTTCCAATGCATTATTTTTGCTGCTTCATCATGCCATTGCTTGTAATCAGCCTATGCATTCTTCTTGCAGCAGCTAACCAGGTGTCTACTATTCCTTCAGCTTCTTTGCAGAGGCAACACATGCTATTACTATAGCAGTTATTTTAAAAGATAATATCAATGTTGAGGCAAAAGACTACGTACCAATAGAGGAGAAAAAAAGACCCAGAAGAAATACAATTCTGTGCATCTTCTGCAATGAAAATACAGTCAAATTTACATTTTATCTTATCCTATTGAAGTAACAGCTTACTATTATAGTTAATGAAAATTTGACATGTTCTTCCATGTCTGCTATGGTAATGAAATTGATGTGTTTCAATGCTAGTTGGATAAGTATGTGCTTTCAATAAATACTATGGAGTCCTTAGTGTTCTCTGTCCTTGGTTGTTTGCTTGCAGAAGTTTCATTATCCAACTAGATAACATCATTCTCTTTTTTGGAATAAACACTATGTATAGATTTAAGTGAAAGAATCAAGTTATTTTCCCATCAGTTTCCTTCATGGTTCAGTCTTGGCCTTGCTTTTAAATTACTTCAGCCATCTACTAATAGATACTAATTATTTAACAGTTCTTTTATGTGCATCTTTCTGATTCTTAAATCAATCTGGACTTTCATGTACTTAATATTCAAGCCTTTTTATTCCACACAAAACCTTGTCCTTTAATTATTCCAAGGCCAATGCCGGCATTGTCTTTTTACTTTTAGTTTCTTTTGAATTTTTCTATACCCAGATCAAGTGGCTATCAGCTGAGCCTTTTTCTAGGACTGCCATTTCAGAAATCAAATCAATAATACAATTGCAAATTATAACATTAAAAATAGCAAAGCATGGACTTTTAAAAGATGCATTTTATATCATTCAGTGAATATGTATTAATGGTATTTCAATTTAGACTGTGCTATAGTTAGAGTTCCTTCTGAAACTTCACATAACAAGTTTTTTCATGGTGTTTTTTAAAAAGGCCTTTTCTGGTCTTCACTAGGCTAAGAAGACAATCTTGCAGTTAAATACCCCCAGTGGCCCCCAACCTTTTGTGTGCCAGGGATTGGCTCCGTGGTGAGAGGTTTTTCCCCAGGCTGGACGGTACATAGTTTTGCATGCTGCCTGCATCCCACAGATGGGACTTCATTTGTTTGCATGGCCCAGTTTCTGGCATGCCACCAACCAGGGCCGGTTCACGGACTGGGGGTTGAGGACCCTGTTCTAGTTAGTAGATATAACAGAGTAATTAGATGTGTCAGAATTCACCTCTGTACAAGAAGCTTGTATCCTATCCATAGTATGCCAAAATAAAGTGGCAAATAGCTGCTAATCCTGCATAAATTTTCTGAAGACCTGTTGGCCATCTTCTCCCTTGTGCAACATCTTCAGGTGATCTGGGCCAACAGCTGAGCAGTTCTGAGTCTTTGGGGAGTCTTTGTTTTAAAGAATTGCAGCACTGTCAGTGGAAAGGATGTGGACAAGGCTGAATAGTCTTAAGAAGAACAAGGCTTTCTTCTAGTAATCCACATCTTAAATTCAAACAATGGAGCAGTTTGTCCAGCATTGCCTACTGGTGCCCAAGAAAGATGCACATTTCATCTATCTCTGATGAAGTGAATGAAGCAGGCCCTCATCCAGCCTTGGTGGTAAAAGACATTTCTATGGGGAAATATCCACTCAAATGCTTTTCAGCCTGGCATCTTTACTTCAAAAACACACATTCAGCTGAAGGACACCTCTTGTAACATTAGTGCTTCCAAGGACTGAGAAAAGAAATGTGAATCCAAAAAAGGAATTTGAAAAATTTCTTAGAGATGGAGACCAAGGCTAAGCTCTTTTTGGCTTTCTTCTTTCTCCAGAACGAAAGCTTTGAGTTTGGTTGTGCCTATCTTTCCAAGTAGTGGCTTCATTCCAATGCCTCCAAACCCTTCATTTTCATCAAGTAGTGGTATTACTTAGCAAATTTCGTGGATTTGATTCTTTCAAGGAGACCAGAATATTGTGACTAGAAACATTCTTTGCTGCACTGATCAGGACAAAAGAGTCAAAGGGATTTTCTCATGCTAGGAAGATCAGTCAATATATATTCCTCCTTTACAAGATTGTGTCTTATAAGACCGGTGAAAATGTGTTCAGCTGAAGCCTGGGTGAACTTGATAGGATGTCTTTAAACTGAATCCTGGGGTGGTTAAAGATGAAAACTCTGAAGTAAGACTCTTAGATAAAGGCCTTTGTGTTTTAGAAGGCAGTGAGAGAGTTACTATAAATAGGAGCTAATCAACCATTCAATGAAAAATCAGTAAAAAACATTAGGTCACAGAATTCATCTTATTCAGTATACAAACACTAATGGGTAGAGTATTGGAAATAAGCAAAGCAGACTTCAGTTGCCCTGTAGTTCAGTCACTTCTAATTCTTTGTGACTCAATGAACATCATTTTCTCAGGTTCTTCTGTCAGTAACTGCTTCTTTGAGTTTTGGTAATTTCATACGTATGTCTTCCGTGGTAGTTTTTAATCTCCTTGCCTTCTGTTGGCCTTTTTTCAGTTGCCTTTAATTTTTCCAAACATCAGTGCTTCCTTCAGTACTTTTGTGTTAGCATTAGGTGTTTGAAATATTTAAGTTGTAATTTCATTATTAGTCTTACCAAAGAGTAAGTAGTCTTGTTTTTACTTCCCCTGGTTTTTCTTGCAGTCCATGATATTCTCAAGAATTTTCTCCAACACAGCAATTCAGAGGCATCATATTTTCTTTGTTCAGCTTTCCTCTTAATTCAGCTTTCATAGGTATGTTACATTTGGGAAAAAATAGCCCTGATAAGATGTAGCTTTTTGTCAATGTGATTTTCTGTTCTTTAATATTTTGCCTAAATTTGTCATAGTCTTTTTTCCCAAATAGCAGACATTACATTATTTCCTGGCTACAGTCACTCAAGACTTGTAGAGACTCAAGAAGTCTCTTTCAATTTCTCTCCTGTCATTTGACACAGGCTTGACATTGCCCATTGATATTATTTTAGTTATTTTTTTTTTCAAGATTGAACAGCAGATTGCCGTATTTTTTGGAGTATAAGACGCACCAGAGTATAAGACGCACCAAAGTTTTGAAGAGGCATATTTAAAAAAAGTTTTTGCACTCTGCAAACCTCCCCAAAACAGCCTGTTTTTCACAAAAATGAGCCCATTTTTTTTTAAAAATGGCATGAATACCCCTTAGGAGGCTTGTAGAGTGCTCCTGGGGGGGGGTGTCCCCCCAAAACGAGCAAAAAATGGGCCATCTTTCGTGTTCCTGGAGGCTGGGGGGGGGGCAAAATTGAGGAAAAAACAGCTCATTTTTTGCTCATCTCTGCCCTCCCCAGCTCCTAGGAGCTCTCTGGAAGTCTCCTAAAGTTATGCAGGGCCATTTTGGTGAAGGGGACAGTGTTTCAGGAAGCAAAAAATGCTGTATTCAGTGTGTAAGATGCACCCAGATTTTCAGCCTCTTTTTTGAGGAAAAAAGATGCGTCTTATACTCCGAAAAATATGGTAAGTTACTCATTCTTTATTTTACATTCTGTAAGAGGCTTCTTAAATTTTTCTCACTTTCAGCTACGCTATGCTATTATCAACTTATTGTTGATGTTTCTTCTGACAACTTTTAATTCCAATTTCTATTTCTTCTGTTGGAGCATTTTTCATAATGTATTTTGCATATATGGTAAATAAACTTGTACAACCTTGGCACACTCATTTAGTTGCTCCGTATGTCACTGGAGCTGTTACTGTCTGATCATCATTCAGAAGGCAAATACCATGGATGTAATGAACATCAAATAGGATGATATCCATGGTTGAAAAAGAGAGATAGAAGTTGATAGAAAATAAGTAAGAAAGTTTCTATATATTAAAATTCAAGTGAGCAAATTTGGAAACACTATTGAGAATATATAGGTTTAAAAAGTGAATGACAAATGAAAGCAGTGCAACTGTTAGTGCCAACTATTGACTATTCTACCAAGAAGCGGATGTGAATGCTTTATATTCCTGTTCAAAGAAGCATGCAGTAGTAGTGATGGGTAACTAATTACCTTGACCCAAGCTAGGAAACAAACTTTCTTTGGTATGAAAATTCCTGACTGGTCTTGCTGAAAACTTTCTTCCTACTTAGGACATGGAAGAGGACCAGCTATATTTGATTTAATATTAACAAATAGACAAGACTTGGTTGATGAAGTGTGGAAGTAACAGTGTACTTGCTTCAGATAAGTCAATCATAAATGCAGTCAGGTTTCAGAGGTACACAAGCAAACCTACAGGCAAGACACAAAAATCAGGGAGATAGGGAAAAAAATCAAAGGTGAATTCAGGAAAATTTTATGTAGAGGAAGGATTTCTCTAGATGGAAGTGATAAGGGCATTATTCTAGCAACTTTAATGGGTAATACCCAGCACATCCTGCTACTCCCTCCTTTTAATAATTCTATTTTTTATTGTAATTTCCATTTCGATTTTAGAAATATTTATCTTTAATTATTTTAATGCTTTTAGTGCTATAAGCTGCCCAGAGTCGCTTCAAAGTAAGATGGGCAGCAAAACATCCATTATCTTATCTAGTATATATATATAAAATGGGTATTGTATTTTTGTCACTGGATCAAAGCTTGAAAGAATGGTAACTCTCCTAATTATTTAATGTAAAAAACAAAAACGTTGTCCTCTTTCAATGTAAGCAGCATGACACCGTAACACAAGTTAAGTTTTATGCTTTGAAGGAATTCTCACCGTTCTAAAATTGTACTTATCTTCTAAATGTTGCAGGCAGCTGGGAATGTTTCAAAATCTCTGGACTTGTGCATTCATTACCTGTTCTTTAACATTTTGAATGATACTGAACGAAAACTGGCTCACATGCTTAATAACAATGTTTTCTCCCTTTTAAAAGCTTTAAAAAAAGAAATGACAACAAACACCTCATATTTTATTAAATATTGACTTGGCAGCGCCTGTTTAAAATTAATATCATGCTTTGGAGATTGAATGGCAAGCATAGATACTGTGAGAGCTTTATTTTCCATTCTCATTTTGTTTGTTTATCAGTAGGCTTGTTCCAGCAAACACATACTGTAGAAAGGAGGGGACATTATAGAGGAACCCCGCTGAGTAATATTGTTCTCTCGAGAGTAATGTGTCACATTAACATTCTAACCCTTCAATTTTTTATTCTGTGCGAAAGCTTTATTTTGTCACACATGTCACCGTGCCATGTTACCTTTTTAATATTCACATCTTGAGTGTTTTTTCACTATGCCTTGACAACAGCAGTAGCGAAACAAATGATACACAAGCTGTATTTTTAGGAGGTGCGACATTTCTGTCTCAACCTGGCAATGTTTGAACACTTGTTAATAAAAGCGCTAGCTGTTTGTGGGTTAATGCCAGTTCTTTTCACAAAGTCATGTCATAGAAACAGGCCCCAATCCCAGAAGTATTTATGTCCTTGTGACAGTGGGACTGTAGGGGTCTAAAATCCAAAAAGCTCTATGTACTGGGGTCGTGTTCAAGAGAAAGCTGTGTGATTCATTGTCTCTTTCTGAAAGGTCTCTAATGTCAATGATTCGTAAGAAGTCTCATCCAAATAGCAACTTGACCAAAAAAGAAAAGGCCTCTTCTCAGCAACAATCAGGTATAGTGTATTTTAAATGAATTATTTTTGTCACAGCACAATATTGTGCCTTTTAGGCACTTGGAATAAAATAAACCAATTTTAAGAACATTCCTATTCACTGAAAGCCAATACAAACAAGCATGGGTTTGTTTGTTTTTTTGCTATGAATAATTGTGGTGGTGGGCCCAAAAATGTAAAACAGAACATTTCTAAATCCCAAGGGAGCAGATTCCGCTGTGAAGTACAGCCTACTAATATACTCAGGCTGAGTTTCTGTGTTTGATTAGTATGCGTAACCTTGTTTCTACCTGCTGATTTCTCCAGACTGATTCCTTGTGATGAACAATCAGGTAATCACAGCATCACATTCTGAACATCTTTCTTTCTAGTGCAATTGTGTTATGGCAGACCTTAGAATTGCAATTAAAAGCATTCCTATTGTGGGATTCACAATGCAACAACTTGCAATCCTAGGGGCCAGGTGTGACTGCCAAGCTGTCTGGTCTTCTCCATATCAAATTGTTTGCCCTACAAAACAATCTGTGCTACTCTTCCACATGCTAATGTGGTAGTTTCCCACCAAGCCTTCCTTATATAGATTTAAATATAGATATCATAATCCATTCTGATTGGAGAGCTGCAGGGTTTTAAGTAGGCTAGTAAAGAAACACGATAGATACAAAAAGTGTATTAAAGATTAAATTAAGAAAGACCACGAGGACAGAGAGAGGATGGAAGATAGTATATTCTGGAGAGGATGAAGGAAAGAATAAAGGAAGTGGCAGTGATGAAAGGAAGGAAGAAGAGATGTTATGTTAGATTTCTGTATATATGTACTATTTTGCTTAAGTCTTGGCTCAGGGCTTCCATTCTTTTGTTTTGGGAAACACTGAATATTGCCAGGAGCAAAGGATTTTGACAATTTTTCTGTCTACTTCTATTCCTAATTGAACGAAATTCTTCCCTTTCACTAATTAAATTCAAGCACCAGTTTCCTAAGAAATTGTATAATTATTTCCTCAGGATTCCAAATGAGCATTTAAATTGTTATATGCTTTTAAGTTATCACTTCTTTGGGTAGGCAGCCAAGGTTGAAAGCATCTCTTGTTTCTTCAAAGAGGATAGTGGCTCTGTTGCCCAGGATTAACAGGCCTATTCATAGAATAACAGAGATATTGATGAGCTCTGTTCTTTAATAAACAAAAAAAAATCATGGTTATTTTATGTTTTTGCTCTCCTTCAACAATTAGGACTGAGGCCTTAAGCTAAGATAAGATAAGCTTAGTTTACTTAGTTTATTTAAGAGCCGAGGTGGAACAGTGGTTAAATGCAGCACTGCAGGCTACTTCAGCTGACTGCAGTTCAGCA